TGCTTCACTCACAGGGCCCCTGGGAAGTGTTTAATGTCAATTTCTGTTAAATTCAGAAGGAAAAAAAATAATAATGAGCTCAGCATGGATTGTACTCATGTTTATACCAACGCAGTCCTTAAATATCATTTTAAATCCATGCAAGTACTTCTGCACCTGTCTTGGAGTGTGCTGTTGTCCTGGCAGCAGGGCCGGCTTCTCCGGAGTTACCTTCTCCCGCCCGGGTCTCCCTAAGAAATAACACCCTCCATTTTGCCAGGGGGATCCAAGGTGGACGCAGATTGTCAGGCAAGGTCAGACAGGGCATCCCTGCATTTGGATGGGGAGACATATCTAGAATATATAAAAAAAACTCTTACACTCAATAACAAAAAGACAACCTAAGTCTAAAATGGGCATGCATCCCCCCTTTATTCTCAACTGGCCTCTGAAGTAACTGCATTCCTCTAACTGAAGGAATTTAGCATATTTAACCCTCTTGCAGTGCCTGTGACTTTAACACAAACAGAAAGCACAGGTATTCTCATATTACAATATTGTTAGGGTTGGGATCCTGGCATCCTACTGTTGAAATATGAGATCTAATGGAGATCTTACGTAAGGAGTTTTTGGAAAAGCATATACTCTTTTATGCTGCTGTGGGTGGAATTGTTTTCTTAATTTCATTTTCAATTGTTCATTGCAATTGTATAAAAATATAACTGAGTTTTGTGTATAGATCTTGTGCCCTGCAACTTTGCTGAGCTCACTTGTTAGTTCCAATAGTGGATTCCTCAGGATACCAGATTGTCAGATGGAAATACAGATAGCTTTACTTCTTCCTTCCCAATCTGGATGCCTTTTATTTCATTTTCTTAATTAATTGCTCTGGCTAGAATCTTCAGTACAATGTTGAATACAAATGACTTTCTTTTTCTGCTGTCTTACAATGGGAGATTAGGTTATTATTTTAAAATATTTTTTCTTTCTTAGTATATACATTAGTAGCTATAAATTTCCCTCTAAACACTGCTTTAACTGTATTCCATAAGTTTTGATATGTCTTCATTTTCATTGATCTCAAAGTATTTTCTCATTTCCCTTTTAATTTCTTATACTCTAAAAACCACAAACCATTGTTGAAAGAAATTACAGAAAATCTAAATAAAGGGGAAAACATCCCATATTCATGGATTGAAAGACTTAACATTGTTAATATAACAATATTCCTCTAACTGATCTACAGATTTAGCTAAGTCCCTCACAAAACCCTAAACTGACTTTGTAGAAATTGACAAGGTGATTCTAAATTTCACTGGGTTTGCAGGAGACTCAGAATAATTAGAATCTCCCGAAAAAGAAGACCAAAGCAAGAGAAATCACACTTCCTGATTTCAAAACATACTACAAAACAACAGTAAGCAAGTCAGTGTTGTACTGGCACAAGGATAAACATATACAGATTAATGGAACAGTATTGAGAGTCCAGAAATAATCCATACATCTATAGTTAACTGACTTTACCAAGGAGGCCAAGATTATTCAGTGAGAGACAGTCTTTTCAACAAATGGTGCTGGGACAACTGAATAGTCAGATGTAAAGACTGAAGTTGGACCCTTATCTCACATCATTTTGAAAAGTCAACTCAGAATGGATCAATGACCACAACATAAGAACTGAAACTATAAAACCCTTAGAAGGAAATGTAGGGGTAGCTGTTCATGAGTTTGGATTTCGCAGAGGATTCTTAGATATAACATCAAAAACATGAGCAATAAAATTTTTAAAATAGATAAATTGAACTTTGTAAAAATGAGGAACTTTTGTGCTTCAGAGGACACTATCAAGAAAGTAAAAAAACAACCCACAGAATGGGAAGAAATAGTTGCAAATCATATATCTGATAAGGGACTTCTATCTAGAATATATAAAAAACTCTTACACTCAATAATAAAAAGACAACCTAAGTTTAAAATGGGCATAAATAGACATTTTTCCAAGGAAGACACACAAATGGCCAACAAGCACATGAAAAGATGCTCAACGTCATTAGTCCTCTGGGAAATGCAAATCAAAGCCCTGAGAGACCACGTCATACCCACTAGGATGGTTAGAACCAAAAAGTCATAATAACAAGTGTTGGCAAAGATGTGGAGAAACTGGAGCCATCCTGCATTACTGATAGGAATATAAAATAATGTAGCCCTTTGGAAAATAGTCTGGTAGTTTCTCAAATGATTAAAAATAAATTTATATAAAACCTGTAGTCATCAAAACAGCATGGTATTGGCGCAAAAACAGACATAGATCAATAGAACAAAAAAGAGAGCCCAGAAATAAACTTACACAGTCAATCAATCTTTGAAAAAGAAGGCAAGAGTATACAATGGAAAAAAGACAGTCTCTTCAGCAAGTGGTGTTGGGATAGCTAGACAGCTGCATGTAAATCAATGAATACTCCCTCACACCATACACAAAAATAAATGGCTTAAAGACTTAAACATAAGATAGGACACCATTAATCTCCTAGAAGAGAACATAGGCAAAACATCCTCTGACATGAATCACAGCAATGTTCTCCTAGGTCAGTCTACCAAGGCAATAGAAGTAAAAACAAAAATAAACAAATGAGACCTAATTAAACTTATAAACTTTTGTACAGCAAAGGAAATCATAAACCAAAGGAAAAGATAACCTACAGACTGAGAGAAAATATTTGCAAACAATGCGACTGACAAGGGCTTAATTTCCAGAATATACAAACAGCTTATACAACTCAGTAACAGCAACAACAACAACAACAAACTGAACAAGCCAATAAAAAACTGGGCAGAAGACCTAAACAGACATTTCTCCAAAGAAGACACACAGATGGCCAACAGGCACATGAAGAGATGCTCAATATTGCTAATCATCAGAAAAATGCAAATCAAAACTACAGTGAGAAATTACCTCACA